ACCTCTCAGTAAAAGCCCACAGACCTAGTTGTGAACAAAGCAATGTATTTGCTGTCTCATCTTTTCTTATTTGAAGACACTACTTTTCTTTAAAATCAAAGTTATCCCATTTTACTTTTCACTGTAGGAATAGGTAAAGCCCAGATAGAAGACTGATGTGGGGACACAAAGTCAAGCAATTCCACCAAGGTACATTTTTCATGCTCACAAAAGAGTGTAAGTATATCTAGTGCATTAAATCTAGGCAGAAGCATAGCATTTCATTGAAGAGATGTATTAGAAAAGTAGTTTGATTAGTCATCCATTTAACAAATTTGTATTAACCACTGGCTGTGTCAACACAGAACCTTCAATCTAGTGGGGGAAGACCGTCAAGGAAATAGATGAAACTAACACAGCATTTTGAAAATGTGAAACAGATGTTATTTTAATTGTCTTTAAATCCTAATACCCTGTGGCTCCCCACAACAGATGCACACAGATGGATCACACAGTCCAAACCTGGGCAAAGGAAGTGTTTTAAGGCAGCTAAGAGCTAAAGATAAATAAGAACTGGGGCTAAATAACATCAGGGAAAGAACAAAATACACGAAGTCCTAGACGAGCATTTGAGGAACAGAAAGCTTAGTATAGCTACATTGGGAAGGAAAGTGGCAGAGATGAGATGGAGAAGTGGGCAAAAGCCAGATCATGTCACGACTGGTGATCCCTATCTCCATGTATTTGAGTTATTTGAGGAACTGAAAGGAGCTGATGTGATGGGAACCATGTCAACAAAATATTTTTTTAATTAATAAATTTTTGTGGCCATGAATTTTGTTTTTATTGAAACAGAAAATATACTTATATAGGAGTCATTTCCTTTATGTAGGGCCAGAAACTATTTGGAGTATCTCTGTTATGCTTGGTGATTTAAATTCAGATCTAAGTACTCAATTTATTTAAAATTGAAAAAAAATATGAAAACATTTAAAAATTTTATCAATTTTTATTTTGTGTATATTGCCTTATGTATGTAAGTGTACCAGTGTCATTCAGTGCCCACAGACATCAGAAGAAGGCATTGCATCCCCTGGAACTGGAGTTTTGAACAGTTGTTAGCCACCATGTGGGTACTGGGAACTGAACCTGGGTCCTCTGCTGAACCAGCTGTCCGACCCCAAGTATATGAAATTTTTAAAATGGGGAACTGAATGTCCAGAGTCTTCAATTTTCAAGAAATTAAAAACACAAACCCATGATATAATCCTTCATGTGCCTTTCCTAGATCTATTTCCATTACATAAATGGTTCATTATGTCTTATAAAAATAATTAAAATACTTAAAGTGGTATTATACAAAAGATTTCATTTTTAATTACTAGGCTTAAAATTATATTAAATAGACCAAAGCTTAGATAAAGGTTGCTAAAAAAATTCTTCTTTGACACAAATTATAATGATGTAAAGCAGTTGGGAGGTGAAGAAGAAGATGGCTGTATCAGGGCCATAAGTAAGACATGACAAATGTGAATCCTACTTACAGCAAAAGTAAATCAAGTTGGAGAATATTTTTTCTCCTAATTAATCTAAGGAAATATACATTCATCTCTACAGGGGCCTTTATAGATGGGGGGCAGAGTTTGCAGCCTAAACTGCCCTGGAACTTATGATTGATCCTCCTGCTTCAGTCTTCTAAGTGTTGGGATTTTAGTCGTGTGCCACCACACACAGCCAAAATGACAATTCATTTCCACAAATTCACCAAGAAAAAAGAGAAATTTCTCACAACAATCATTATATACAAGACATTTAATAATATTATAGGCAATACTTTATTCATGGTTTAAGAAAATGAAGAAACAGATTTCTTTTTTTAAAAAAATCTTTGTAGTATAGAAAAAACGTTAAATCAAATTTGTGGAAATGTGCCTCTGTTAGAGTAAATTAGTAGTGAGATTTTTAAAAACGTAATCTGCTTGCTATGGTAGCGAATTGTTGAGGAGCTGGGGGAATGAATACCCTTCTAAAAAGACAATGTTCCAGATGAGCTTGTGAGACGAGCAAAGGAAAAAACATAACAACCTAGTTCCTGAAGTCACAGGACTTTGACTAGAGTCACAAAAGTTCCTCACATGACTGCTATTTGTGTAGGAAGCAAGGTCAGAGCTCTGCTGGACATTTTAAAGAGTCTTTTCAAGTCCCTGTCCAGATGGAAGTTCCTATTTTCATCTTTATAGAAGTGGGTTGCCAAAATAGTCAGGTTGGGGGAAAATTGATGTTTGTGGTTTTCACATGGTAACTTGGCTACCAGCATATTATTTGAAAAGAATATAAAGTATTAATTGACTATCTGGATAAAACTGCTTAAACTTTCATTTTTCCAGATCATGTGGAGGAATATTCTGTTGACACAGCTGCCTTGACCTAAGTGTAGTAAAATACCTTCTTTTCAGTGATCATTACTCATCTCCGTTTTGCTTAGAAGAGTACCTAAACAAATAATGGCAAAGATTGTGCTAAGAACATTTTCTTGGTATTCATTTTTATCTAAAATTTCTTGTTGAGATAGAGATTCTCAGGTAGTTTAAGAGATAATATGGAATGATTCCATTTTTATTAATTAAATTTGTTTTTTTGATAATTTCATACATGTATATAATACATACATATTGATTATTCTCACCCCAACCCTCTTTTATCTCCCTCTCACCCCTGTCTTCCATTTACACACTTTCCAGTTTCCCTTATTGGTAGAATCTTGTAGAACTGTAATATAACATAACATTGACTTTAATAGAACCCTCTGGTTTTAATCTAGGTGTTTCTAGTTTTATTTACACTAATTTGTGTGTATGCCTAGTTTTATGCACTTTTATTATTGCATAGATACTGGCGTCTAACAGTCAAGATACTGAGCAACCCATCACAACAAAAATCCCTCCTGTTAGGTGCATGACCAACAGTCTTACAGGCTCCTGGGACCTTGCTCATATGAACTTACAGCAGTGGTGTCAGCATACACAAAACCCATGCAAACTCAATCAGACAAAAACCCAGCATAGAACTGGGGAAATGAACAGCAGGACCCAGCATTAGCCAAAGAACTAATGGCAGCTGATTACTGCTGGGAGAGGGAGATTTGATCTTCTTTAAAGAAGAGACTCTAGATAGGCTGGCTAGACTGCAGTAGAGGAAGACAAGCACCAGTGACACCCATGGACATATGGCTTATGATCAGTGAGTGACTGTGGGAAAAAGGCAGTGGTGAGCCTAGACCACATAATACCAATGGCTAGAGGGCTGTGTTGCCATAGTGAGCAGAGGAGGTAGGGTCCCCAAACTGACTAGGGGTATAAATGACTTGGACTCAGTATAATGGGGGTACATCCAAGCTAGTGAAGACAGAAATAAAGCAGTCCCAAGAGAGATGCTAGGAGGGAATAGGACATGGCTCTGAATCATTGACAAAAGATGTCTTGAGGAGTCTGGAGAGATGGCTCAGCAGTTAAGAGCACTGGCTTCTCTTCCAGTGGGCCTGAATTCAGTTTCCAACAACCACATGGTAGCTGACAACCATCTATAACTCCAATTTTAGGGGATCCAACACCCTCTTCTGACCTCTGTGAGCACTGTATTCATGTGATATGATTATATATATAATATTTTTAAAAGAGGTCTTTGAATTAAAGACAAGCCACAGACCTAAACAGATAAATATTGTATCATATTTTTCCTTCCAGAACCTTACCATGGAAAACAACTCTTAGAAACCATAAACTCTAGTACGGAGCTTTTTGCTAGTGGGTAATGAGTGGATGAAAAGTCCACTTTTAGAGGCGACATGTATTAGTCCAATCCAAACTCTTCCTCACATACTCTCTAGTTCCGTAGTATAGTTAGGACCAGCTTAAATGGATACAGAAATTTTAGATCGATATCAGGATCTGGCCTTTATAACTTGAGGAAGAACTAAACATCCCAAACATTCCCCTCTTCCCGCATAGTTCCTGCTAATGACCTCCATGTCTCTAAATGCAGTGAAGCTTTCCTTCTCTTCCTCTCATTCCATTTCTCAACAGCACTTTTTCCTGTCTCACCATTTTCTTCTAATGCCTTTCTTATTTTCCTGCTCCATCTTCTCAGACTTGTCTTCCTCTCCCAAGACCTTAAAAGATGGAGCCCTTCAAAATAATTCTTAATTTTTTTTCTCAGAGTGGACATTCATATATGAGATATCACGCATTCTTCTTGAAGTTATCAAATTCTCTAAGGAACAAAACTTACCATACTGGTCAAACAGACTGTTACTTATAATGGCTCTCTGCTCCTGTATTTATTCTACACAATCTTATTTAATTTTTAAAAAGATTTTATATTTAATTATGTGTATTTTTGTGTGTCTGTGTATAGTTACGTGCACGTGAGTGCAGTGCCTATGGATGCCAGGAGACAACCTTAGCTCCTCTAGAGCTGGAGTTACATGTGGTTGTGAGCTACCAGACCTCGGTTCTGGGAATGAAACTGGGGTCCTCTGTAAGAGCAATATATGCTCTCAAGTGCTGAGCCATCTTTTAACACCCCCCCAACAATGTTATTTAAATCTAGCCATTTTATCAACTCTTTGCTTAAATCATGTAAGGAAGACATGCTCTCAGATAAAGACTGGCCCTGCTTGCTTCTCCTACTGCTCCAGGCTAGCATCCCTTCCACACGGCTGCCTTTGGGTCCTTTTATCTGAAGGCCTTCACCCTCTGCCTGTAATATTCTTCTGCCACCCCTCTCCCAATCTAGTTGTTGCCTCATCCTTCATGTGTTAGCCCAATGTTGCTTTCTTAGCATAGTTTCCTAATAACACCAAAACCAGGCTGAGTTCATTTTTCACATTTTTCAGGGCCCTGAAGTCTGCTTTCACTGTTGTGTATGTACTGCATGATTATTTGATTAAGGTGTGTCTCTTGTAATTGACACTAGGCTGCCAATGAGAGACTGCCTCAACTGTTTGTCCTCTCTGTCTCTAGGATTTGTATGGAAAATACAGGAATGAACTAGCTGTAGCAGTCAAGAGCCTGAGCTTTTCTAGGCCTGCAGATCTTCATGAGTAAGTTTTTCACAGTCAGATGACGTACTGGAATGGGTACACTGGTGTGAGCCTAGATTTTCAGGGTTTGATACTTACCAATGCCAAGTTCAATGTTTGGTGTTCTTCTTTCCTGGTTATTTTCTAATTCCTGAAAGCTCTGCTCAGCCAGGAAGGTGTCTCATGTTTTACTATTTGAATAGTAACATTACTAGGGCATTTTATAATTTATAGCATGTATACATTACCATTATGACATTTGTATTTCCAAATGGAGTCTGACTCTCTGAAGTAATTTATTTTCCTTAACTGACAGATGTGGTTAATGAGGCGCAGAGGGATAAAGTGACTAGCACCGCTTCATGTCACTAAGAAAGCAAAGTAGGGACTTCATCCTAGGGTTTTGCAATATCAAGTTCTTCTTCCCATAGGTAGAGTTGATGTAACCTTCTCCTTACTGGTATCAATTTGAAGTCTAAATTTGGTGGCTTACAGTACCCCAAGAATTATATATCTTTTATTGAAAGTCCTCATATACCACTACAATTTATATTTTTATGATACATATGTATATATATATATATAAATTTTTAAATATGTAGAGCTGGGTATTGCATCCTCACATTGATCATAGGATTCAAATGCTAAGATAACTTTTTACCACTAAGTCATGCCCCTGAGCCTCAGTCTTCCTTATATAAAAAGACTTAAAAAAAAGAAAGAAAAAAATATTTTGAAGCTTTCTAAGTTTTCATTGTACAATGTTTCTTTTTAAAAATTGATCATATTCAAGGGACTCGTTGACCAGATTTTTTTTAAATAGGGAAAACCCTCAAATCAACGAAAATGATGGTTGATGTCTATTATTCCAATACCTATTTTTCACTGTTTTGTCATTTTTTTATTATTATTTTTTGTGTATGCGTGTATTGCCTGCATGTAGGTAAGTGCATCCATGTCATGCAATGCCCGTGGAAGACAGAAGAGGCTATCGGATCCCCTGGAACTGGAGTTAAGGACAGTTGTTAGCTGCCATGTGGGTGCTGGGATTTGAACCCGGGTCTTTTGCAAGAACAGGCAGTGTTCTTAACCACTGAGCCATCTCTCCAGTCCCTTAAGTCATATTTTTATCATTTCAACTGATTTGCCAAAATTTAGATCAATTATTTAATTGAAAAGCATTGATAATAGCTGGTCAGGCATCCTAAAATGTATTAAATATTTATTGTTCAGTGAAGAGCAGGCTGGAGACAGCTCAGTGGTTCAGAGATCTTGATGTTCTTGCCGAGGACTCAGGTTCAGTTCCCAACACCCACATGTCAGCTTACAACTATCCATAACTCCTGTTATGAGAGGGATGTGCTGCCTTCTTCTGGCCTCTGTGGGCACCACATGCACATGGTGTACTTACATGCAGGCAAAACATTCATATGCATAAAATGATTTTTTAAAATTTTAAAAAAGAATGTATATTAGTGGTTCCGTTTGGTGGGTTTCATTTTGTTTTAAACAACTTGTTCCTTCCTCACTGGCCAACATTTCACAGCCTGCCCATTTTAGAGTTCAAGATATATCAGTTCTTAAAGGTGGTTTAGTTGTTGAGAAGCTACAAAAGAATTAAAAAGTAGAAAATGAGTCACTTTGAATTGAAAATATTTAGACCTCTATCAAAACTGTGCCTTCATACTGAGGCAAGATTTATGGATAGCAGTAAGTCTACTTTTTGCCACATATTTATTTGAAAATCACCTGTAAACTTAGGTTGTGCTTTAGTGCTAGTAATTTTAACATGATTATCAGAATCTCTGTAGTGTTTGAGTAAAGATAAAAAGGGTTTATAAAGAGCTTATGCAATATTCTTTGGATATACAGACAATTGGTCAGACCATCGGTTGTAGGATTAACACTAATTTGAAAAAAGAATTCTTTCCTTTCTAGGACTAAATGTAAGAACAGCCCCCTCCTGCTGCAGGTCATTGGAAAACAAACAAACAAACAAACAAACAAACAAACAAAACCAAAACCCACAGCTCTATTTTAAGTACAGCACATCCACATAGATGGAAAAGTTAAACTGGGAAACAGCATGTTGCAGGGCACAGGAAGTTTTGTAGCTACATCTGTTGGCCAACTATTTCATAGTTTGTGTTAATGAGACTTATCATTGGAAGAGAGCACATCAAAGAGATCATTGTTTACCAAATGTCTCAGTTCAAGGAACTGCTGGCCTCAAAACATAAAAACTGCTTTCCAAATGTCTGATGCCTGTGTGTAGCTAAATAGACCATGAAAGATGCACCTTTTAAGGGGCGGGATGGCATGCATTTGCTGGCCAGTTACTCAGAAGTTTAAGACCAGAGGATCACTTGAGCTCAAGAGTGTAAGTCCAGGGATGGCTCAACAGTAAAGGGCACTGGCTGCTCTTGCAGAGGACCAGGGTTTGGTTCCCAGCACCTACATGGTGACTGACAACTGTCCGTAACTCAGTTCCAGGGGGATCTGATGTTGTCTTCTGGCCTCTGTGGGCACTTCACGATATGGGTACACTTACATACATGCAAGTAAAACACTGAAACAGTGTTTTGGACAAAATAGGAAGACCTTGATTTAATTTTTTTTTCTCTTCTCTTTTAGTAAATCCTCAAACATTTAAAATTCCTTCTTAAATGTGAATGAAGAATCAAGCAAAATCTGTATTTTGTGTATGCTTTTTAAGAAACAGTTGTATACTTAATTTTATTTTTAATTTTGTGTATGTATATGATGAGGGTGTGTGTAAATGAGTGCAGATGTCCACAGAGGTCAGAGGTATCAGATTCCCTAGGGTTAGAGTTATGGGCACTTGTGGAACACCTACCATGGATGCTGAGAATTGAACTTAGGTCCTCTGGAAAAGCAGCAGATGCTCTTAACCACTGAGCCATTGACCCAGCCCCAATAGTATACTTCCTAAACATTCATATTGAAGCATGATTTTATGCATATGTCTTATATGTATACACATCTGAAAATGTATATATGCATATGTCTTATATATGACAGGGTCTCACTATGTAACCCTGGCTGGTCTGGAACTCACAGAGATCTGCCTGCCTCTGCCTCCCAAGTGCCAGAGTTAAAACTGTGTACCACCACACCTGGCAAGTTTGATATTTTTATAATTATTGAGTTAATAAAAAGTCAAACTCGCTTAAACAAGTGTTATTGTTTTTTCATAACTGAAAAATAGTCATACATTAGGCAAATGTATTTTCGTTGTTGTCTGTTTGGAGTTTTTGAGGCTGTGGCCCATTGTGTAGCCCAGGTAACATCAAACTCATGATCATGCTGCTTCTTCCTCCCATGTGCTGGGATTACAGGTGTGAGCCATGGCACTCAGCTCGACAATTACCATGAACTGAATGACTGATAGTTGAACATTTTTCTTCAGTTCTATAATTGGTAATGCTTATTATTGTAATATTCACTTTTGGGTCTTCTGAAATGGATTATTACCATGAGTGGCATTACATGGTTGTATTGGAAGGTTCCTGTTACATCTCCAGGGCATAAAGGGGCAATGTGTGGCTCTATATGGGACACTGAGTAGGAAGCGTGCAGTTGAATTCTGTTTAATTCTGATTAATGATGATCTGGGGTCTTCCCTGGCAGAAAGATACACAGTCGTGTGCTGTAAAATGTAAGTATACAGTACCTTTTGTCTCAGAATAAGCCTATGGGGTCTACTTTGAATGTGTCTGTGAGAAAAACAACAACCAAACACTACCTTGAGGGAACTTTGCCTGGTTTTGCATCTTTTAGATTTTCCCAGCAAAGCACTCAAACTTGGTATGTCTACAAACGCTCATTTGCTAACTGCATTTCATAACACGAGTCTGAATTCAGCTCGTGCTCCCCTTCTGTAACACTTCCATAGTGCTCCTCAGTGTGGACAGGGGTTTCTTATTTTCTAGATACATTTTCTCTTAGGTGACTACAGATGATCAGTGAACACATTCTTGCACTCTGTGCTAATGTTTTGCAGAACTGTGGATATTCTTGGCAGGCAAACTGAAAGGCCCTTTGGCTTTCTTTAAATACCAGCTGCAGACCTTGCCTCTTGGATTGAGGAACTTCAGTGAGTCAGAACAGGTAATTGCACTTAATCTTAGGTAAACCTGCCACAGGAAACATTTGCTACTCATTCCATAATCCATCTTCCCTATTTCCCGTCCCTCTTCATTTTCCACTCTTTGGCAAAGTGCCTCTGAGAATGAAAACACTGACAGCTGTATTTAACTTCTCTGCATAACAAGGCTTCTCTTTGTTCAGGGTTACATACCTACTTATTAGTAGACACAGTAAGACACTGAAAAAAAATCTGAGCGTGTTAATGAACCATTGTCCTTACAATAAATGCAATTGTTTTTTCCTCACAACTAGGAAGCTGTTGACTCATTGATAGTATCAGACACTGGCATTTGTTTTCCCATTTGTGGCAGTGCATTTTCTGTTGCAACAAGCCACACTTGGTTCCCTGCCGGTGATCTCGTGAGGCGCGTGTGAGGCTGTGGCAGGGGTGAGGAGGGTAAGCTGCACCTGGGCATCTGGAGTCTTTAATTTTGTCCAGGTCTGTTCTTGTTTGTGGGGTGATGTAAACTGGTGAAACAGCAGGCACATGTCTAAGGTGTTAGGAAAACCTCATATAATCATTTAGAAGTGCACCAGAACCAACCACACTAGACCATGCTGCATGAACTGATCACACTCCTCTTTGAGAAGGCTGATAACCTTTGCTATCTTCTCCATTATATTTTATTCTTTTATATTTACTTATTTATATTTGAGGGGTTTGTGTGTACATGTTCATGTGTGTATGGGTGGGTGCACTTTTGTGCGTGTGTGTGTGTGTGTGTGTGTGTGTGTGTGCGCATATGGAGGTCAGAGTTCAGTATCAGGTGTCTTCCTCAGTCATTCTCCAACTTGTTTTTTGAAAGTGTCTCTCACTGAACCTGGAACTTGCTGATTCAGCTAGACTGGCAAGACTGGCTGGCCAGTAAGCTCCAGGAGTCCTCCTGTTTCTGTCTCCCCAGCTATGAGATTACATCTCTGCAGCCTTCTCTCTCTCTCTCTCTCTCTCTCTCTCTCTCTCTCTCTCTCTCTCTCTCTCTCTCTCTCTCTCTCTCTCTCTCTCTCTCTCTCTCTCTCTCTCTCTCTCTCTCTCTCTGTTTTTAAAAAGAGCTGGAGCTAGTGAGATGGTTCAGTGGTTAAGAGCACTGACTGCTCTTGAAGAGGACCCAGGTTTGGTTGCCAGCAGCCACCTGGTAGCTAACAACTGTCTGTAACTCCAATTCCAGGGGATCTAACACCCTCTTCTGACCTCCACAGGCACTGCATGACACAGGTGCACTTATATGCATATACACAATACACTCGTACATATAAAATAAGAAAAAAAAATAAGCCATTTAAAAGAAATGAGTCTCACACTGTAGAGCAGACCAGATCAGTTCAGGAGAGATGGCTCAGCAGTTAAGAGCACTCACTGCCCTCCAACGCCCTCTTCTGGCCTCTGTGGGCTTTGCATGACATGGGTGCACCTATATACACATAAAATATAAATTAAAAAATTAATAAATAAAAATCTTCATAAAGATTTATGAAAACCAAATCAATAACTCAAACAAATTTTAAATTCTATCATTCTAACATAATACAATCCAAAGACAAGCTAATTTGATATATACTAAGGAATGATGATAGAAAAATATTTTTTTAAATCTTTGTTTTCCATAATTAAATCACTGTATTTCTATTAGAGGGAAATCTTTGTACATAGATTAATATTCAGTCTTGAATCTGAGTCCAGATATTCCAGGCAGCATTTGTTGGCATTGGACAGCCCGACAGCCCAAGTATAGTGCAAAATATACATCTGTGTATTCAGAACCAAGACTGCAGTGAAACCTTGAAACACAATGAGTGCTTTTATAAATTACATTAAACAAATAATAAGAAAACATTATCTGAAGGAAACCACTCAGATTCATTATGCTTTTTATTTTTGGGTTGTTGCATGTGCAGAAATATTTTACTGTTGGCAAAATTTTCATGACCCTGGATTCTATTACATAACTCATGTGGAGTTATAACCTGTAGTTTAAGAAGCTGTGTTGTATGCTTACTTTGGCTCAGTTCATTTAATTACTAACTAAGCTAGCTATCTTCTAAACCCACTGACCACTTGAATATTGCCACATTTTGTTTCTGTATTTAGCTTGCGATCCCCTACCCATTATTTTTCAGAATAAAAGATGTGTGTGGAACACAGGAGTTTCACTTTGTTATGTCTGTAAGAATAGATCGAGGGAGAGAAGGCTCAGTGTTAAAAACATTTACTGCTCTTCCAGAGGACTCAGATTCAATTCTCAGCATCCACGTGGTGGCTAATACTGGTCCTTAATCACCACACTTTCAAGGAATCCCATACTTTCTTCTGTCCTCTGCAAGTACCAGACAGGCATGTGGTACACTTACTTACACATAGGCAAAATACTCATACACATAAGATAGAAATTTTTATAAAAGAGTATATTGAGGGCCAGGAGTACTCTAGATGTTGTGAACTTTGAGGCTGATGTTAGCCCTCCTTTTGACTCTTAAGAGTCTCAATTATTACTGGTTAAGAGAAATTTTGGTTGCCAATTGTCTTGGGTTTTCTGTTGTTGTGATAAGACACCATGACCAAGGCAACTTTCAGAAGGAACAGTTTATTTGACTTATGATTCCAGAGAGATTAGAGTTCATAATGTCAGGGGGAGGCATGTGGTAGAAGTGGCCAGAGTAGAAAGCCAAGCAATTCCATCTTCAAGCAGGCACAGGAAGCAGAGAGAAACTGGAAATCTGACAAGGCTTAAGACTCTTGAAGCTCACCTTAGTGATGTGCTTCCTCTAGGATGCCACACCTTCTAAAGGTTCCATAACCCTCCCCAAACAGTGCCAGGAACTGGGGACCAAGTGCCCATATGCCTGGAGCCTCTAGGGGACAGTCTCATTCAAACCATCACATGGATATATTATCTTAGAATTTTTCAATGCATGCCTGCTTAATAGTGTACAAGTATAATTGAAAAGGGTTACCAAGACTTAAGTAAAAAATCTAAATAATTTCTTATGGTCACCTGACATAGAAACATATTTTCCTACTGAAACAGCTAAATAAGAAACTAAAAGAGGCACATATATAGGCAACAGAAAGGCATGATGATGAAAATAAACTCAGTGCATAAATAAGCAGAATAAAGAACAACTATTTGGGGGATTAGGAAGAAGAAATGTGTGGGTTTGCAGAAGTGACTGGGATAGAGTGATACTAGATAAGTTTTTGGAGGATAATAATAGATATTTTTTATTTTTTTAATGATTTATATAGGTTCTTAAATTTTTTGTCAGCCTACAAAGTAATGGTTCCATTTTCAGATCTTGTACTTTGGTTGGGCTCCCCCCCACTCCTCCCTTTTTGTGTCACATATATTCCTTTACCTTCTCTTTCCTATTTTCCTTTCCTGTAGACCTGAGTAGTTCCATTTCTACTCCCATGTCTTATGTATCTCTAGAAATATAGATATACTTAAATATAGACTAATGATAAGACATGTTTACATATAAATTTAAATCTAGATTCTGCATATGAGAGAAAATGTGGTATTTGTTTAGTGTGTCTTTGAGAGAAGGTGGCTGAGTAGCAATCTGAGAACACTGAAAGACTGAGAGGAAGGCTCATGCTCCAGTGCTTCAAGGTCCAAGGCCTGAGCTCATACTTTAAGAGAAATTTTCTTCCTGCCCTTGGACTTATTTTCCTCATTTGTCAATTGATTGGATTTAATTGGTTGGTACTTTGAACATTTTGGCAACATGCCTTAAGCAATGCTGATATGATTAGCTCCTGTTAAATTAACAAGCATCCCATTTTCTAAGTTCTAGTTCCAAAATTTGAGTTTTCTTAAAAAAAAAACTAAACAAAAAAACAATAATTTGAAAACAGTAATTTTATCTTGCTTTTCCTTTTCTAGCAGAAAATCTACTTCAGGAAGTGGGGTTGTAACAAACAAACTACTCACCAGTAGTCCTTTATTGCTCAAAAATTATTTTAGGGGCTGGAGAGATGGCTCAGCGGTTAAGAGCACTGGCTGTTCTTGCAGAGGACCTGGGTTTGAGCTCCAGCACCAACATGGCAGCTAACAATGATCTGTAACTCCAGTTCCAGGAGAATCTGAAGCCCTCTTCTGACCTCCACAGGCATTGCACAACATGGGTGCACTTATACACATGCAGGCAACATACTCATACACATAAAACAAAAATAATACATAAAAAGGTAAAAACTATGTTGAACTGTGTTTATGATTACAGTTTGGGGTGTAAATAAACTTCTGTCACTTAGTTCCTTAAGGTGTGTAATTTGGATGATAGAGTGAAGTGAGCCAATGTGATCATTGGCTAGGTATTGGATTTTTGTTACGTGAGCCTTCAGAGTTCAGACACTAGTCTCATCTATGGTGGAAGACAGATGTAACTGGTAGCTTCCTGGTCCCTGAGTGACAAACTAAGATGATGTGTTCTTGAGTTAACATTTCCAATGAAGGCCTGCTGATCCCGTAGTTTCCTGACAGTCTTAGTAATCTATTTCTGCATAACAATCTTGATCAATGCTTAAAACAGACATCTACTATCTCATGCAGTTTCTGTGGATCAGAACACGTTAGAATGGCTTTCTCTTGGGGTTTCTCATAACATAGACCTCTGAAGACATGACTGGACCTGGAGGATCTGCTTTCCAGATGCCTCATTCTGGTGGCTCTTACATGAAGCCCTCAATTCCTCACTATGCTGGACCTTTCATAGATCTGGTCTCAACATGACAACTGGTTTCCCCAAGAGTGAGTGATCTGAGAGAAATAGAGGAAGAAAGTGAGAGAGTGCACAAGACAGAAGCAGAAATGCCTTATAGCCCAATTTCAGAAGAGGCCATCATTCCTGCTGTAGACTGATAACTGTGCAGACAACTCTGGAACAGGGTGCATGGAGATGACATAAAGTGTGGTACCAGGAAGAGCAGACCACTGGGAGCTAGTTCAAAGGCTGGCTGTCAC